CCACGCGCAACTTTGTCAGCTGGCTCATCTATGCTGGTAGCGGCACGCCTCGTGTGTGCGCCCAGAGCATTTATGGCACAACCATCCTCAACACTTCGACCGAGTACCAGTTCGCAGACAAGACATCAATGACCGAGTCTCTATTGGCCAAAGTCGCCATGCCAACAGCGACGTCGACGGACCGCTTTGGGTCTCGCTCGCTGAGCCAAATCGTCTTCCGCGTCGAGTCGGGCTGCATGGAGTTTGCGACGTTCGCGTGCAACTTGGACGATGCGTCGGACGCCGCTTCGCTCCGCATCGGTGTTACGCGCGCCGAGTACGTGAGCCTGCACCCGTCGTCGTCGATGAAGTTGTGCGACAGCCAAAACTCTACTTACCCGATTCGCATCGACCCCAAGTACAACATTGCGTTTACTGTACCGGCAGGCAACTGGGCGACGCAGACGGTCGCAGACGACGCCAAGAGCTTCTTTCGCTACTCTGCGCCAGCGGTGACGACGCCGCCCGCGACAACGACCGCAACCCCCGCTGCGACATCCGCCTCCTTTCTTTCGTCGCTCACCACGAGCGTCGTTGCGGGCCTTGGTGCAGTCTTCCTCGTTCTCTAGAGTAGCAAACCAGCATTTCGTAATCGATTTCTTTCACTCATGCAGCACGCAAACGACATCCCTGCGTACCCGCAAGATTGGATAATTGGACGAATGCTGGCACTTGGGGGCGCCGCTGTGGCTGCCCTCAATTGGCTGTCCTCAAGTGTGAGAGAACTCTTGACTCGCTTTTCTGTCTTATATCGACTTAACTCCTCTTTTGCGAAATGGGGAGTATGTCCCCGAGGCTATCAATGCAAGTGAGACTAGCAGGGCTCGTGTTGGGAGGCTGCCGCTGCTTAAAAGAGACTGGTAGATAGGCTACAAGAACGTCAAGTAACGTAGGGGGTTGCAGCTCGACGGGCAAATCGCAAATGGGTTTGGCAGTTTGGTCTTTGGTCTTGGCGGCTGCACGTTGCTATAATAACATGCGAGCTGGTTGCGCCGCCATCTTGGGTGAGATGGCGGCTCGGCAAAGCGGTTCAAGATGGCACCCTTGCTTAGCCCCTTCGCTTCACGCGTTGCGTGAGAAGCGACCCTCGTATGAATGCTTCGCCGTCGACTGCCTCTTGGCTTAGGTTGAGGTCCGCCGTGTACCTCGCCTGCGAGCTCTCCGACTGTAGAGCACCGACTTTGCATGGCTAGAATATGCAAGTTTCATCGCGTAGCTTAGTGTGGTTGAACAGGCTCGGTGCAGGGTGACCTGGTAGGAACTTTTGAATGCGAAGCATTGTTTACCGATATTTGTGAAGACGACGCTTGCGGTAGTCTTTAATGTGGCTTTGCACCTGAGTCATTTGGGTCACCTAGTTCTTCGTTATGAGTCGAGTTGACCTCCGTCGACGAGGTCGCTGCTGCGGGTTGGTCACGCTTCGCGAGTCTTGCCTTCCTTCGGGTTTCTTGCTTCCTCTGCGCTTGCCGCTCCCGGAAAAGCTCCGCCTCGTACACCGTTCGTGGCCTCACCTGCTTTCCATGAGGCCTCATGGTACCGGTACTAGAAGGAGTCCTTGCCATGATGGTCATTTCCGCGCTTCTGTTGTCCAGATACATAATGTAGTCAACGCTCGCTGACAGGCTCTATTAGGTGCGGCTGTGAGGATGAAAAGCCCTGATACGTGCGGCACACCTATTTAATAAAAAATCCAGTATAATGTCCACCACTTGACAGCACTTTAGAGGGACTTTAAAAATACGCACTTGACGAGACATGCTCCGAGCGTTGTGCCCTAGTAGCTGAGACCAATGTAAGAGAGGTCGGAGGGAATCGTAGAGGTTGCTCCTGGCGAGGTAAAGACAGCACACAGACGTTGCAGCGCAAATAGCGTGCGGACAGGTGGAAAGCCCGAGTGTACAATTCAGAAGTGAGGCCCTAAGGCTTTCCCATTGTCCTCCCTTGAAAACCACCTTCCCTTCATATACATTACATTTAGTAAATGTAACGAATCTTCAACGATCGGTTGTATCTTGGTAAATGTCATTTATTATACCACAACCGATCGTTGAAGATTCGACCTGCCCCGGTGTACCGGTGCAGTCTCATACAATGAAACGTAGTTTTATTGGACAACAAGTCTAGCTAGTAGTCGATAATCAAGCCAGAATGTACGAATTGATCCCCTGGGATGCTACGAATATTATAAATTCACTCCATGCGACGTTGGCGCAACGCAGCGGCTTCTGCAAACCCGAGCATAACCAGGACGACAGTGTCAGGTCGTCCTGCGTCCCTTGAACGAAGCGCTAGGCTGACATCCTAGCGCTGCCGCTGTTCCGACACGGCAGAAACTGATTGCGTAATGACATAATTGTACACAGTAGAAGTTTATGTCCATTTAAACCAAAAATTCGGGAAATCGGTTCGGGTAAAAGTTGAGACCCTCGACGGTATCGTCTCGACAGAGCTTGCCACGCTGCTCGGCAACCTAACGTGCAACGCATCGGACGCCTTGCGCTGCAAACCTCTCGACGCACCTTGAGGTATTCGTGGGCAAGCGACAAGGAAATCTGCATCTCCGCGGCCACGTCGTTGGACGTGATGCAGCTGTCTTTGGCAGTCCGCGCCAAGTGCTCGAGGCGCACGGCCACCTGCTCTTCATTGTGCGAGTCTACAACAATCCAACCTCGTCCCAAGGCATCGACCAAGAAGATGAAATACCGGATTGGAGAACGATGAGGCCGCCATCAAACTTGCGCACGTGCAAGCCCAAGTGCAACGGCTTCTGCAGCATCGCAGCATGATATAGATCGTCGGGCGAGATGAGCTCCGTGCCCCGGGCGCGGTTGAAGAGGCAGTAGATATCGGAGAGCGTGAGGATGCCGCCGTGGCGCGCCATGGGCTCCTTAAGGAACTCGGCGAGCTGGCGCGCCAGCTGCTGGTGGTACGCATCGCCCGCGTTCTCGCGTGTCACCGGGCTCGCAATGCCCATGTTGAGCAGGAGCGCTTGCATCTGCGTCGTCTCGTCGGTCGTCGTCTCGGCAGCCGCGCTGCTGTTGGCTGTCGCCACGTACCGCTCAATGAGCCCGACCTACCGAGTGTAGAATAAGCGCGTGCTGAGGTGCCTTGCAAGGCTCGACCATGTCCTTGGCCTTGTCCATGAGCGCGTTGAGGTCCGAGAACGACTGCGTCGTGAGCTCCGACGTCTGCTTTTGCTCTTCCTGGCGGCGCTGCATGATACCGCCAATGCCGGCTTGCATCGGGTCAAACTGCCGCGTCTGGAGACGGCGGTCGGCGAGCGCGCTCACCGACTTGGTGTCGGCCCACGCGCGCCGGCACAGCGACGTCTCGAGCGGTACAAAGAACTCGTCGCGGCCACCTGCTTTGAACGACAGCTTGAGCAGCTTGGACGCATTCTCGTGCGTGTAGTCGATCTTGATCTTGGACGAGCGCGTGATAAAGCCGGCCTCCTAATGGGATATGGTCGTGCGATGGCAAAATGACCGTATCGGCGTACCTTGCCGAGCCGATCGACGGCGGCCAGTGGCATAAAGAGGTTCGTGCCCGTGTCGTCCGAGAGCCATAGGAGGCGGTGCGTCGTAACCACGCACCGGCCATGGACGTACTGCGTCTTGACGTGCTGGTCGTAGAGCGACACATGGGACTGGCTGTAGACCTCGACCTCGGACGGCCATAGCACTGGCCGGCCTGTCTCGGAGAGCGGCAGCGCTACGCAGATGAGTCTGGCGCTGGCAGCGAGAGGGCGCAGGACGTACGCGAGAAGACGGCGAGGGCCACGGCCGGCGGCGCTTCGTCACTCATGAGGAGGCTTTTTGTTGCTGGCAACGTCCGGAAGGTTTGCCGGATACACCGGTTCCTGTCTTTTCTACCAATGAACGTACGCGCATTCACTACGGCACTCTGGATTGGCTGAAATGCTGACACGGTGGCAGCGCATTGGACGATGGACGACACCGATATTATTGCTCGAACGGCAAGTGTCCTGTACATGGACCTAAACAGGTCGTCCTTACGACAGCCCTAGTAGCAGTATATAACTGTTCCTGGTGCTCTCTCCTTATACGGTGCACCGCGCAGCCGTGAAAAGCTACGAGTCGCCGCCAAGCTAGGGCTCGGGTACTGGTAGACAGAAAGGGAGTGCTGGGTCGTTGGAAGATAGTGTTTGTATCGAGGGTCGCTACATTGTTGAGGGGCCCTTGATGTTGTAGCACTGAATTCGTAGTTTTTATTATTTTAAAAGGGGTAGGGAAGAGACGATCGAGGAGAGAGATGTCTCTACTTGGGCACGTCGCGGAGCTCGAAAAGCTGGGCCGGGTCCGACGCGTTGCACGGCTTCATGTGCACCTTGTCCTTGCCCGACTGGCTGAGGCAGAAGCCCGTGTGCATGACGTGCTCGATCGTCGTGAGGTTGGCCATCGGGTCAGCCGACCAGAGCTGGTTGCTCGCCGACGCTTCGGACGCCGACGAGTCCCACTTGGCGCAGCCGTACGTGTGCACGTAGAGCTCGCCATTGTTGCCCTTGAACGCATCGAGGCACGTGAGCTTGTTGTCGCGGTTGTTGAGGAAGAGCTGCCAGCTCGGGTTGTAGATCCACTGCGCGCCGTTGACAGCCGACGTGTTGTACGGCACCGCGTCGAGGCCGTCGCCATGGTTGCGGAGCATCACGTCGTCGTGGACAAGGTTGACGCGCGCCGCGACGCCGCCTTCGACACCACCGACCATCCCGCCCTCGAGGTTGCCGCCGTCAAACATATCAAAGACGTCCGGCGCGCCCTTGGTGCGCTTGTGGTCGGCGGCGACGAGCGCGGTGGCGGCGACGACGAGGAGGAGGGAAGCGAGCTGCATGCTAATGAATGATCCAAGGCAAAAGGCAAAGTGAGCTGACAAAGTGATCCGATTGAAACCATGTGTCGCCGCCTTCCTCGTAGACATGCCCGAAACATCTTGGTCGGCAGTGGCGTGCGGACGAAGCGCGGCCATGTTGTGTGAATAATCTCAGGATCCCATTACCAGAGTCGTCGAACAGGTGGACTGAACTGGCACGCTCGGCATTCATACGAGCAGAAGTAAGAAAACTCGAGGCCCACGCAAGGAGGCTCTTCGCCGTCCTTGGCCGCGCAGTCGATGGGACCATGTTACACGACGGCGCTGGGAAGAGAGACGATCTTTGTCCAGCGGTCAAACCATCTGTTTGGGCCGAACACTCCACGCGCTGCATCCCCACGTTCGATGGTCAGCGCCGGCTCTCTTGTCCGTGGCTCGCGATGCTACAGTCCAAGGTTACAGCGGGGCGATCCGTGTCCCGCAGTCTGGCTCATCCTGGCGACGTGGCAAGAGGCAGACATCAGCTGCCCACTGAATTTCCGTCCAGCACGCGGCTTCCTGATGACGCAGCCGCGTGTCGTACAGTGTACGAAGGCATCGTTGAGCCCAAATCGATTTTTAAAAATTAGGGTTTCAACGCATCGAGCTCGCCGTCTTCGTGGAGCTGCTGGATGATGTCGAGGCCGCCGATGAGCTCGCCCTTGATGTACACTTGCGGGTACGTCGGCCAGTTGGAGAATTTCTTGAGGCCTTGGCGGACCTTGTCGTCGCTGAGAATGTCAAAGTGATCGTAATGGAAGCCGTGCTCGTTGAGCGTCGCGATGAGCTGACGCGAGAAGCCGCACTTGGGTGCACTCGGCGAACCTACATACCGTCGCCTGTGTGAGCGCCTACGATACATCGGTCGATCGATTACCCTTGATGAAGATCATGACGGGCGCGCGCGAGATGAGCGCCGCATAGTCGGGCGTCGACAAACGCGGCTCTTTCTTGGCCACGCCGAGCTGGTCGGCCAAGTCACCTTCCTCCTAAGCAATAAGACATCAGTGGCGTTGAGAGAGACGACGCGTGGTACCGCCATCTCGGTGAGGATGTCGAGGCCACCGATAAGCGACCCGCGCACGTACAACTGCGGGTACGTCGGCCAGTTGGACATCTTCTTGAGGCCATGGCGCACCGAGTCGTCCGTGAGGATGTCAAAGGTCGAGAATGGAATGCTGTTGGCCCGCAGGAGCTCGATCGTCTTGCGCGAGAAGCCGCACTTGGGCTCGGCCGGCGTGCCCTTCATGAAGAGTAGCACGGGCGCCGACTGCAAGAGCTCCGTCAAGCTCGCAAACAGCGCCTTTTCCGCTTCCTCTACGCAAGAATTGCAGTCGAACACTCTCTCGAGGCTATAGAGAGAAGCACCTTCGCTCACGGGCTTGACGCCGAGCTGGTCGGCGAGGTTGCCCTCCTCCTTCATTTCGAGGAGAATATCGAGGCCGCCGACGAGCGACCCGTTAACGTACACCTGCGGAAACGTCGGCCAGTCGGAGAAGAGCTTCAGGCCTTGGCGCACCTAGTTGCAACGCATGAGCCTCGCGTGCGTGCGTGCTTGGCGTCGTCGTACGGTCTCGTCGAGGAGGATGTCAAACGTGCCGCACTCAATGTTCTCGCTCTTGAGGAGCTCGATGAGCTTGCGCGAGAAGCCGCACTTGGGCTCGCTCGGGTTGCCCTTCATGAACACCATGACCGGCGACGCCCTACACGCGACAACCGATGAGCCATGTCGATCGCAACGTCGCTTTACGAGATGAGCTTTTCCAAGCGACTGCGGAGCGCAGCGTCGACGACGACGGGCTTGTCCATGGCCAGCGGCGTCGCCTCGGCCTGGCGCTTGCTGGCGCGGTCAATGGCCTGCGCGAGCTCCGCGACCTTCATGCCCTCGATGCGCTCGAGCACCTTGTTGCCAAACGAAAGAATGAACGTCGGCACGACCGCGAGGCCAAACTGCGTGCTGAGCGCCGGCACGGCCTCGGCGTCGATCTTGACAAAGGCGAGGCGCGGGTGGAGCGCGGCGAGCTGCGTGAAGAGGACGCTGGCCGTGCTGAGCCAGTCGCCCGTTGCCGACTGGTTGGACGGGATGCTCACGTTCTTGGCGTAGAAGAACATGACGTACGTCTTGGCGACGCCCGACAGGGTCTTCCATTGCTCTTCCGACGTGACCTCGACCACTTGCTGCATCTTTGCTTCTGGCCAACCTTGCGTGGATGTTTTCTAGGTGGCATACGCCACCTACAAGAGGATCGACCAGGTTGTTGGCGGCATCCACCTCTTGTATTCGGCATGTACAAGGTGGCATATGTGGCATCCCAGGTCCTCCGAATTCGGCGCGAGATGGCCATGGATTGGCTGAAATATAGCAAATCACAGGGAGGCATGTCGATAGGGCCAAAGCCATTGGCCATAATTGGTCCAAATGAAAACCTTTGCAAATCGATGCGTCGCGCAACAACCTTCCAAATTGAATGATCACAATCCGGGATATTTTCGAAGGAAGTTGGGAATTTTCGAACTGCTCGAGACCGCGGCTGGCAGCCGAGTCCATCGACCACGAAGCGGAGCATGAGGTACGCCTGTCCTCCATCGCGTCGCTGCCATTTGCGCTAGTTCCTAACTCTCTCCATGACGGTAGATCTGCGACCACGGGCCATAGCCCACAGACAGAGAGAACCGGCGACACGTCGTCGTCAAGCCACCGGCAGCTGCGCAACAGCGTGGAGTCGCCTGCCACTTGCCCGCCACCTGCAGTACAACCATGCTAATAGCAGCTGCTTGTAGCTCATTCAGCGCTAGGCGCCATTGATGGACGTGCCACCTGCCGAGGACAAGGTGCTCTGCGATTTGGATCCGCGGTACTTTACGCCGCATTTCGACGCAGTCGCGCATGTACTCGTACGTCTCGACGCCTAGAGCACGCGCACGACTTGCACGCTTTCTAGGAGTCGTTGCCGCTGCAGGCGGACGAAGTGAGCGACTTTTTGCAGTCGCAGATTGGCGTGCTCGATCTTGCCAAGGACGTGGTGACGGCCAAGCTCGCCGAAGACGTCCAGCGGAACCACACGACGTTCATCCAGGGCATGAACCAAGTGCAAGACGTCGACTTGGACTTGACACTGGCGCTGATCCAAGTCAAGAACGGCCGGCGGCTCCTCGCAAGCGCCAAGCAGGACCTCGTCATCAACCATCTCGAGCTGGTCAAGCTGCGTCGCAACCGCGACCGTCTCCGGACCGTACGCATGCCACATGATTACGGTATTCAATCGCTTACCTCGTCCTACAGATTGTCGACCACAGCTCGACGATCCTGGGCTTTGTCCGCCTCGAGCACGACATGTTGTCGCATTTACAAGAAAAGGATTATGCGAGCGCGGTATTACACAACATTCGAGCCAATCAACAACACAAGTAGGTGGCTGCGTGCATCGACATTCGCCGGCAGCTGGACCAGTCACGCGAGCTGGACCGGTTCTTCATCCTGCGGCCCGTGCGGCAGCGCATGGCCCACGCACTCGTCGAGCTGCGCCAGCATTTTGAGACGGTGCGATCCGACATGAGAAGGCTGCATCACCGTTGGGCGATAGGCACTTGTGGGGCTCCTCGAGTCGTTTGATGCGGCTGCGTATGGCAACTTGCTGCGAGCGATGATGGCGCTGGACGCCGAGCGGTCCGGGCCGTCGACCGTGCCGCAAGTGCTTGTGCGGGGCGTCGACGACCTCTCGCGACAGCACATTCAGCGTCTCTATACCGATGCGACCGTGATCAAGAAGACCAAGCCAACGCAGTCGGTGGTCAGCGTACGGCCGTCTGCTAAGAAATGCGAGTAAGTATGCGCTCTGTAGATGCTGCAAGACCTGCTTGCGTGCTACGAAAAGCTCGTGGGACTCTTGCACGGCTATTACCTCATCACGCAGTGGCACCGCACTCCGTTCAGCGACAAGAATGTCGACGCGGCGTTCTTGCACCGCTGCGGCTTTGACGCGCCAGTTGAAGGGACCAATCAAGCGCATACGACAACCGACGAGATGGCCGCACAGCACGCCGCGGCGTATCAGCAGTACCGACGCATTGTGTGGGAGCAAATGCAGCAGAGCGTCGGCGACCTTCTCGATCGCTTTCCGCTCACCAACGGTGCGATCGCCTGACGTCGGAGCGACGAACAACGTGGCTAGCGTAGACTTCAAGATGGAGCACCTCGTGTCGCTCGCCCACGCCACGCTTCGGTTGATTATGACCGGACACGAGTTTAGCGGCGACGACGCGTCGACAACGTACACGTCCATATGTCACATTGATTTCATCGCACTCGTAGGCTCACGACGGCGCTGAGCAACAAGTGCCGGAGCTATCTCAAATTGTTGCAAAAAGACAGCATCGAGCTTCTCCGCATGCTTTTCGACACGGAAAAGTGGGAACGGCTCTCGGTCGCGATCGACAACCACAGCGGCGGCATTCCGGCCCTCTTGGAGCAGCGCTCGGGGTACTCGCTCCCAGATCTTAAGGTGGCCCAGCGCCTTTTGGAGCCACGTTCCAGTGACAGCGTTTTCATGCACTACCGCGCCAGAGGCAACCCGTTCGCGCTGTGCTACCGCGAGAAGTACCTCGTGGTGCCCGCCATGCAGCGCTATGCGTTCGAGAACCGGCGCAACGACCTGGAGGCGGACCCGCTCGCCGACGAAGAAGACAAGATGATCAAGCGCATGATCGCGCTGGACCCGTACCTGCGCGGCGAGTCGGACTCGAGTGTGAGCTCGCCGCAGACAGAGGAGCTCATTCGCTTTGGCTCCAAGCACGTCATGTCGTCGTCCAGCCTCTCGGGCTTTTTACGGTACGCCGAGATATGATGGGATGTACTATGGACATGCATGAGCGTGTAGCTTTTGCGGCGTGTATATGAAGCTCATGGAGCAGCTGCCGCATGTGGCGTGGGACATCTTTCTCGGGCTCGCGTCGCTCTTTGATTTTGTGTTTTACGCGACGTTGACGACCGCGTGTCCCGACAACTACCTCGCGCGGCTCTTGACGCGCCAAACGCCGAGCGATCTCCAGTGCGAAGAGCTTCGCCAGCAGCTGAGTCGCATCCAGTCCGAGCTTGGTCTTGGCTTGACGGCGCAGTCGGTACCCGTGCGCGTGACGCAGCTGCCGCCGGCGATTGCAGCGTCCAGCGACGCTAATCGATTTGCATTTGTCGAGCGCGTCGTTGCGATCGAGGCGCTTGTCTTCCAATGGCACGTGTTTTCATCGCTCCACGCCGCGTCGTTGGCGCCTTTCGTGCCCGCCGCGCGCCAAGAGATGATGGCCACCATGATGACGACGATGGGTGACGCGGTGAGAGAGGGACGGTCGTACGTCTACGCGGTCATGGCGCCAGCGCTCATCGCCGCGGCGTCGATTCCGAGCATGGTCGAGAAGGCCACGTGGGACACGCTCGATCTCTCGGACCAGCACAACGAGTACGTTGTCGCGCTCGTCCGTCGGTGCGGCATTTTCTGGGGTATTGATGCGATTTTTGCCGCATCTGGAGCATTTCGACGTGGATTTTTTATTATGTAGGAACTTTGCAAGGATCGGCGGTTCCGATCCACGTCCGCGACGAGATCTGGTCGTATGTGGTGCGGGCCATCATGGAAGCACTCGTGGAGGGCTACGCGAGTGTGAAAAAGTGCTCGATGGAAGGACGCGCGCTCATGTCGATGGACCTCATCGCACTCCAGAACGGGCTCGATCTGATCAACCACGTGAGGTGCGACAATCTGCCTCTTCGACCCGCGTCTCAGATTCTGGTAGCAACCAAAACCAGACGCTATGGGGCCGGTCCTATGTCAACAACTACATCAAGGCGTACTACTTGCAAGAAGCCGAATTGCTCGCGTTCATCGCTGCCAACAAGAAGAGTTATCGCAAGGCGCACCTCGTGAGCTTGGCCATCAACGGCGTCTGTGGTCTGCGACGCGGGACTCAAAAAGACTTGCTCCAAAAGATCGAGCACATTTACCGGTCCGGGACCACTTAATCTGAATCTTCAACGTGGTGAATCTGTGGCTGGACGGCCAAGATCGAAAACCGCCGCTTGTGATTGGCTGCCTGGCGAGGTGTCGGGTGGCTGCGATTGGCTGCTTCGGTTTGGAAAAATGCATTGTGAGAGGTTTCCTAACATCTACCCTTTTGTATGGAATACAAATCGGAAGTGGTTTCGAGCATAAGATGTCGGGGGCGCCATGCTGGCCTTTGGTTTCACTGGTGCCAAGAGGAATATTTTTGATCCGCCCATCTTCGCTCAACATGGCTTGCATCGGTATCGACCTCGGCACGACGCATGCGTGCGTCGGCGTCCACTTCAACGGCAAGGTCTCCATCATCGCCAACGACCAAGGCTTCCGCACCACGCCCTGCGTCGTCGCCTTTGAGACCGAGGACGTGGTCGTCGGCGACTCGGCCGTCGCCAAGCTCCACAACAACGCGGCCAACACGGTCTACCACCTGAAGCGCGTGCTCGGCAAGAAGCACTCGGACGTCAAGTCGCTCGACTACATCAAGGGCTGGAGCTTCGACGTCAAGGCCGATGCCAAGGGCCACGCCGTCGCCGCCGTCACGCACAAGGAGGCGAAGCGCGAGATCTCGGCGACCGAGTTTGCGTCGCTCGTCCTTGGCAAGCTCAAGGCCCTCGCCGAAGACTACACGGGTGTCCAGGTCAAGAACTGCGTCTTGACGGTGCCCCAGGAGTTCTCGGAGGAGCAGAAGACGCTGATGAACGAAGCCGCCAAGGCCGCTGGCATTGACGTCATGCGCTACATCAGCGAGCCGATCGCTGCCGCCATCGCGTACGGCTTTGATGAGACCAAGTCGATCGACACGAAGCTCATCGTTGTCGTCGACATTGGCGGTGCCTCGTCGGACATGTCGCTCCTGAGCGCCGACAAGGGCCTCTTCAACGTCGTGGGCCACGTCGGTGACGACGCGTTGGGCGGCGAAGACTTTACGTACGCCCTCGTCGAGCACTGCGTCAAGACGTTCGAGCGCCAGAAGAAGGTCGACTTGAAGAACAACACGCGCGCCTTGTACCGCATCAAGCTTGCTTGCGAGCAGGCCAAGAAGTCGCTCTCGACGCAGAGCCAGGTCACGATCGAAGTCGACTCGCTCGCCGACGGCCAGGATCTCATTGTCAAGCTCTCGCGCTCGCGCTTGAAGAGATGATTGGCGACCACGTCCGCAAGATGATCACCGACATTGAGGCGCTCCTGGAGAACGCCAACCTCGACAAGGAGTCGATCGACCACGTCATCCTCGCCGGTGGCTCGACGCGCATCCCCAAGGTCCAGGCCGCCATCGAGGCCTTCTTTGATGGCAAGAAGGCGTCGTCGACGATCGTGCCCGATGAGGTCATCGCGTACGGTGCGACCGTCGAGGCTGCGACGCTCTCGGAGACGGCCGAATGGGACAACCTCCCGTCCGATCCGCTCAACATGGTCGAGGCCGTCCCGCTCACGCTCTCGCTCGGCCTTGCCGACGGCTCGGTCTACGAGATGATCCAGCGCAACACGGTCCTCCCGGCCACGACGCAGGAGGTCTTCACGACGCACGTCGACAACCAGAAGGCGGTGTACCTCCAGATCTACGAGGGCCAGCGCTTCATGGCGCGCGACAACACGCTCCTCGCCAACCTCACCATCTCGGGCATCCCGCCCATGGAGAAGGGGTCGCCGGAGATCGAAGTCAGCTTCAACGTCACGCGCAAGTCGGTGCTGACGGTCAAGGCCCACCTCCGCAACGCCGAGGGTGCCAAGTCCAAGGCCCTCACCGTCGAGAGCGACTCGAAGCGTGTCGTCAACGTCGATGCGATCGTCGCGGCCGCCGAAGCCGCCGCCGACGAGGACGACGCGTTGATGGCCGAGTTGGAAGAAGCCGCCGAGGCGGCCGAGCTCGCGGCCACGATCGCGGCGGCCCCCAAGATGGCGGGCGCCGGCGAAGACATGGATTAGAGTGCTATAGTATTATTCCGTCGCGGCCGATATATACAGTAATAGCAGCCCGTGATGCAATCCTCGCCACACCCCTCTGTATACCGAAAGGCGATGGCAGCGTGCCACGTCATATGCGCGTCACGGACGATTTGTGTATTGCAATGGCTGTATTACGTCTCTCCCTTCTTGTTGGCTCCAAGGACGGTCGGGACCGTGTCCATGCGCAGAAGCAGTAGTGATGAGCTACGCGTGCATGCAGCGCAGGAGCTCGCGCGCGTTGGCCGTGTACGCGGCGGTGGAAGCTGACGTCGAGACGGGATGTTTGACGTTCTTGACGGCCGTCGGCGTGAAGGCTGGGAACGCCTCAGTCGGTGGTGCTGGCAACGCCCAGCTCCCCAAGTCGGCGAGCAGCGGGAAGAGCGCGTCGCCATTGAGTGCCGCCATCGCGAGGAAGAGTCGGCGCGCGGCCTCTTGCAGCGACGCACTGGCCGATGCGCGCAGCATCGGACACGTCACGCGCGCCACGTCCATTAGAATCGACTCGAACGCCAAGGACGCGGAGCACATGCGGCGCAAGCACTCGAGGCACTGCGCGTGGATCTGGTGCGTGAGCGAATGCGTCGAGCTCATCATCTCGCCATCGGCCATAGTCAAATCGTGGCGCGTCACGACCGGAAACATCGCCGACGCATCGACGACGTGCAAGAGCGGGCGCATGACCGGCCACGCCTCTGACACAAACCGGTCGGCGAGAAAGTCGCCGCAGCGCGCCGCGAGGGCCGAGAGGCAGTGCAGTGCCGCGAGCACCACAGGCTTGGCGGGACTTTCCATGCGCTTGAGCACGGCCGGCCACACGCGCGCGGCGACGGGCCGGAGGTCGTTAAGCGGCAGAAGCAGCACCGCGTGGGCCAGCACCGAGCTCGCCAAACAGCTCGTGGCCACGTCGGGGGCGGCCATAAAGTACGAGGACCGCACAAGAATGTCCTTGACAAGGTCGCGCATGATGGCGTCGCTCGCGTCCGCCTCGGGCTCGTGCTCCACCGGCATCGCAGCCTTCATCTTGCGCTCGAGGACAGCCGAGTCGTCGTCGTCGTTCTCATTGAGCATCGCATCGAGCTGCGCTTCGCTGGCCGCGTCATCGGGCACGCCCATGGTCGGGTCGAAGAGCGTTTTCATCTCCTTTAGGAACGCATCGAGTTTGGAGGGACGAGGTGGTGTCTCGGTCAAAGTGTCTTCGCTGGGCGGCGCCGTCGTCACAATGACCTTCATGACGCGCAAGAGGCCGGCGCTGTGGGCACTCGAGACGTAGCGGTCGACGCTGCGCAGGACGCTCTGAACCGCGTCGTGCAAGAGCGGCAGCGGTGTCGACCCGGCGTGCGCCAAGAGTCCCTCGACGACGAACGGCGTGTGCGGGTACGCGTCGAGCTGCTGGAGGCGGGCGCAGAGCATGTCGATGACGTAATCCATGTTGCCGTGCAGCAAGGCCGGCACGTCGTCGTACGCGCAGTGGAACGCCAGGCGCTGGAGCGTCGCCGTCGCCGCTTGGTGCACGACGCTGCTGTGGCCCGCCAAGTGCTCCGCGATCGGGTACAGCACGTGCATGAGCAGCGGCTGGAAGGCCAATTCGAGCGCTTCGGCGCAGCTGCCGAGAATCTCCAAGAGAACGCTCGTCGTTTCCTCCGAATCAAAGGCCGCACCCGGGAGACGCAGCGGTTGGCCTCCAAAATGGGTTGCCATCGGCAGCGTCGTCCACTGCGGCAGGTGCAGGAGCTGGTCGAGCAAGTACCCGACGTTCTGAACCGAAAGGGACGGCTTGTCGGCCGGCGACGTGACACCACTGTGGGCAGCGCCGAGCACAAAGTGGTTGAGGACCAGAAGCAGCTCGGTCGAGCGCTCCGACTAGACATAAGAAACTATGAGACACATCGGGACGCGACGGCGCATAGACCTCGTCGCGGAGCTGCGCCATGAGATGGTCGATCCAGATCAGCGTCGCGCCGCGGGCGCCGATGCGTCGAAGCACTTGGGTCGCCAAGCGAACCGCGGCGTCCGAGCGCACGTGCACGAACCGCTTGCGGTAGTAGGCAAACGTGACCGTCGCCGTCGGTCGAGACCGGCTTTCGTGGGCGAGCACGTGGGCGTCCACGTGGTCGATGCGGAGAACGGTCGTCATCGCACGCAGCACCTCGTGCAGCACTGCATCAAAAGCAATGGAAGTGCTCTGGTCGTAAGCGAGGACGAGCTGCAGCGTCGCGCACGCCTCGGCCTCCATCTCGACGTCGGTCGCGCACTTTTTCGCGAGATCGCGCAAGTGCGAGACGACGCGTGCCGTGGCATGGCGCTGGAGCCAAAGACCTTCGTCGTCGCTCATGGCGGCGTGGAATTGCTCGAGGGCTTGCCGTGCGGAGGTTTGCACATCAAGGATCGGGTCCAAACTCAAACTCAAAAGCGCCTCAAACGCCGAGAAGAAGCTTGGTGCGAGCGACCAGCGGCAATCACGGACCACGACGCTGCAGAGGCCGACGAGAGCGATGCGCACGCGCGGCTTGGCGTGGTGCCGCTGCGAGCGGCAAATGAGGTCGAGCGCGATCTGCATGTTGACTTGAGTCGTCTCGAGCCAGGCGCGGGACCGGTCGACTTGGGGCTTGGACGTGTTGGGCAGAGGCGCCGACGACGACGTTGTTGTTGTTGTTGTGGGGAATGGAGACAGCGCTGCCGCCAAGGTGAACTCTGGTTTCGACACGAGGTGTGTCCACCGACTGTCGCGCAAGCCCAGGAAGAGAACCTCGCGTAAGCACTCGAGCGCTTTGGCCGGGACTTTGGAGCCCCACTTGTAGTCGGCGTGGTGGGTGAGCTGGAGCAACTTGGCGACGACACCAGGAAGGAGCAGCGCCACGACGTCCACGTTGTCAATGGACCGAAGGAGTGCGAGTAGCGAGTCGAGCGCTTGGACGCGCGATGCGCGCGCGACTTCCTTCTCGGCTTGCTGCAACAAGTACGCTACCTAGCAGTGTTTCCCGTCAACGGGCTCTACACCGAGTTGTTTGTACCGTCAGAAAGGCCACCTCGATGAGCTCGTCGGTCGGGAGCGTAAAGAAGGATGCCGGCGCAGTTCGGGACGCAAGGAGACCGATGCATTGCACGATACACATACGCCCGTCTTCGGTGAGGACGCTCGATGCGTTCGGGTTCTCTAATGGCGGCAAGTAGACGAGCAACCTAGCATGCTGCATGTGAGGTTACACGTTGATGGGCGACCACCGACGTACGTCTTGATCATGGCGACGAAGAGGTCCGGGGTCGTCTCGAGCGGCCCGAGCTTGCAGCGTGTAAAGAGCTTGTAGAGCGCTCCGAGTCCGCGCTCGATCGTCGGCGGCGACACTGACCGGCCCTGCAGCATGGTGTGGACGACGGCGACGGCGTAGCTCGTCCAGAGGTACTCGGTGGGCGTCGCGGGCAGGCGCTCGAGCTGGTCCTCGAGCAAGGCCAGCTTCGTTGCGCTGGCTTCCTGGGCGATGAGCATGATGAGCGCCATGACCTCGCGCTCGACCGGGCCCATGCTGCTACCGCGCGCGTCCATCGTCAAGATTTGCCGCGTCCCGAATAAAATGGCATCTGCCGAATTTAACCTGTATCAAGCCATAGAGGACCTTTAGCATCGAATACGTGGCAAGATCGCGACCTTCGAGGTGCATGCTGGATGCTGCTCACGGCCGAGGACTTGCTGGCGATGGCAGCCAAGGTGGAGCCGCCAACGCTGGAAGCCCACATGCAGAGGGTCCATGCCATGGACGTGGAGGGTACGTTGCATCCCGAGCTCAAGCGGCTCAACTGCGCGATGGAAGCCGAAGCGAAGCGCCACGCGATGGCGATGCAGCAGTACGACCAGCAGCGTACTTCCGTTAGTGGTAGCTTGACACCGCTGCGGTCACCTCTCCAGCGTCGCAGGGGCTCTCTCGTGCTTGACATGGGTACGCATCACTCTTGGCGTCTACGTCTTGACGCAAAACAGGGTCGCTCGTCGAGTCCCAGTCGGCCGCGTCGTCGCCAAAGGCCAAGCCGAAGGCGCAGAGCCCGCACGAGAGCTCTAGCTACCAGTCGCTCTTCCTCGCCGCGGCGCTGCAGCTCCTGGACGAGAAGGGCAAGTCGCTGCCACCGTCGCTCGACGCGCACCACCTCAAGCTCCCACCCGACACGATCCTCGCCGGGTACCTCAAGAAGGCCAAAGACAACTCGCTCCGGACAAGCACGAAAAAGTACGCAGTCTTGACCCGGGGAGTCTTGCGCTACTACGCCGACATGCATGCAGCGGCGACGTGTACCGAGGTCGTCCTCGTGCCCCGGCGCTTCATTTGCCGCGAGAACCTCTCGCAGCGCTTCCAGCACAAGTACGCGTTCGAACTCATCGCCACCGGGAGCGCGGTCGAGAAGCGCCCATCCAAGCTCGTCTTCATGGCCAAGTCGGAGCACGAGCGCCGGCTCTGGGTGCACGCGATTCGGGCGGTTGTGAATGCGTCGCCCGTCTGCGCCGTCGACGGCGACTGCTACGCGTTCATGTTGCTCCAGCGCCAGATCCAGGACGCGCGCCGCAAGGACGCGTACTTGCACGCGCTCTCAAGTGCCCAGAACCGCGAGCTCTGCGTGCCCGTCGAGTGGGTGCACGACCAGCTGCAGCAGACGCCGCAGCCCGGCGAGAGCGGAATGGACCAAGTGTTTAAAGACCTCGGGCGCGACCGCGTGAGCATCAACGGCCGCATCTACAGCGGCGCCGACGGGACCGAGAGCGTGCTCGGCGCGTTGGCGCGCGCCTTCATGGACGTCTGCGAGAACCTCACGGAAGCGATCGCGCTCGACGTCGTGCGGAGCGTATTGCTGTCGTGCAATAGGACGCAGTCGGGCGGCGACACGTACGAGACGGTCGACTACCTGTACCACAATGCGAGCTTGGTAACACGCGGAAGCAACCATCCGCGTGGATCATGGAGAATATGCAGGTCGTGCTATGTCCCAGTGCGCGCGAAGCCGCCCCGCTCGAGATCAAGGTGCTTTTGCGCGATGCATGCCCCGAGCTCGCGGCCAGCTTGGCGTCCGACGACCTTGGCTACGTCCCCCGCCAACAGTATGTACCGTCTCTCACCCTCCGCTCTCGATACGCCATGCTATGTACTAGCTCGCTTGTGCTGCCGACCAAGGTCGAGACGCATCGTCCGTCCATGGCGACGGCCATCTCGTTCGGCGACGACCTCGATAGCTCGTTCTTGCCCGCGAAAGCGCTCAACCTCTTTGCCCGCGAGAAAGAGTCGGTCGAGCTGGTCTCGTTTGCCGGCGAGAAGATGCACGTGGCGATCGTTGCCGCGACGTCGTACAAGATCTGCGACGCCAACCCGCAGGGCGATGCGACGCTCGACACGTGGGCGATCGTCGACGCCGTGTTCGAGCAGTCGTTCGTGTACGCGCCAGCGTACGGTGTCCTCGAAGGCAAGGGCATCGTCCGCGTCGTCACGCGCAGCATCTGCGCCACGTAAAGCAATGCATGCTCCGAAAAGTCACCCATATATATATACAGAAAGACGACGACGCGCCGTCTTACTCCTCCTTCTTCTGGATGATGAGCGGGCCGACGTTGTCGCCCGTCTCCTTGTTGTGCTTGGCGTGGGCGCCGTCGCAGAACGGAAACTAATAAGCCACGAGCGAGATAAGATGAGACAACCATGCTACCGACGTGCTTGCAGGATGCTTACCTTCTTGGACTTCCAGCAGCGGCAGAGCACGCACTTGAGCGAGCCCTTCTGGAACATGTCTTCAATGTCGCACGTGTCGACGACCTTGTCCTTCTCGAGCGAGACTGACTTGTTGATGCGCGCCGGCGACGCCTTCTTGCTGCCGCTGCCGCCGAGGCTGGCGACGAGCGAGTAGAGCAGCACGGCGACCGTCACGAGGAAGGGCGCGAGGATCATCCACTCCTCCGTCGTGAGCTTGGCGAAGCCGGCGACGTTGCTCGGGATCGGCAGCGACTTGAGGTACTTGGGCAGGCGGATCTTGAGCGCGTGGCGGACGGCTTCCATTTTTCAGAATTCGAAGCCGGGGAAATTCGCTACTGATGCGACCACACGTTCCGCGACCGACGACCGGATACACCATCCGGCGACGTGGTGACGTGGCATAGCCACGCGCCAGTTGCCGTTGCCATCAACCGCACCAAGTGGGCAGACGACGGAGCACGCTTGGAGAGTCGATGATCGACACGTATCGAGGCTCATGACCATGAGTCTCAGCACAAGCCCAGGGCTTGGATACCCGATCGCTACTGTCGCCACAACGAACGCATGTCTATCACGTGATCTTGATTCTACGTGGACGTCGCATACATTTAGGTCGATGCACGTAGTACAGTCAATGCTTCTTTGCTTCCACTCGCTCGCCGGGCATGGACAGCGGAAGCAGTGCCTCATGTGCAGTCGCCTGGAAGCATGGCCTTGATGGCGCGGGCCGTGAAGTCTTTTGAAGCGTCGCGGTTTGGAGCCCATGAGGAAACGAAGGACCTTATCGACAGCATTCAGAAATTGGTGCGTGGGATTGCCCTGGCCACGCTGTCGCGCCTGTACCAAGTCCTCGGAATCGCCAAGTCTTAGCCAGCAAAGATCGCGACGTCTCGGTGCTGGCCAATCAGCGCAGTCTCGGATGCGAGAAGATCCGTTTGCCGACGCCTTTGAGCGCGCTGCATGCAGCGACCCCAATGCTCTGGTGACACCGCACGAGCGGTACGTCTCCTACCAAAGTCACGCGCTCCATTTGGCCGTAGCTCGACTTTCTTAACGGACCTTCACGCCCGCGGGCTGCTTCCGGACGCCTACATGCACAAGATCCAAGCCCTCTGGGTACTGCGCTGCCACAACGCGTTGTCATGTGCATGCTGCATTAGGACAAGGAGCGAGTCAGCGTAGCATTCGAACACTTTCAAGCGCTGTTGACACGCGCGCTTGGCGACGCCAGCGCTGACGAAGCAGCCACAGCGATCACGACCGAGATCTCGGACAAGGTATGCCGACGCTGCAACTCGAGAGGGCGACGCTTCTGTGGTAGCTCGCCTTCCTCTCTCACCTCGTGCAGTCGTGGGACACGGCGTCGTTTGGTGCCCCGGAAAAGACGGCGCTGGTGGCCTACACGTCCACGCTCGCGGCCGAGCATGCGGCAGCGGTGGCGCCACAATAGCTACCAGCTAAAGCGCAAACCAGATGATTAGGAAGACGCGGTCGAGCGCATTGCAGCAACGATGGCTGCGGAGTTTCGCGCGCACCAGCATAAGGCACTGGTGCAAAGCCCAATCCAGTGCCATCTGCAGTATCGAACGACGCCTCGCTTCAGCGACACAAAACACCCAACCACGTACCAAGCGGCGCACTCGTTGCAACTCGAAAAGATTGCGACAAGTCGTGACTTTCACAGTCTTCGGATGCACGCCCAGCGCGAGTCGGCAACCAACGCCTTTGGCGTCCTCGACGTACGTTGCCGGAGTTACTGTGGCGTGCTGTCATGACACGGTTCATAGGAACGCTGCGCCACCGGACTGCAGCTGTACCTTCAGAGCTTC